AGGTGACAGGAAAATGAGGAGCATGGGGTGAGTCCCCCAGACCAGGGGCTCATTCCTGTGAGGTGTTCTGTTGTGTCTAAGACGTTGTCATACCTTTGCCCACTGTTCCACCTCATGCATGAATCTATTTGCAACAAAGAACAGCTACAAAAATCCTCTGTCAAACCTACATACCAAGGGGGAACCAATTTCAAGGATCTACATATAACCTCTTCCCTGAGGGATGGACAGAAAAGTGGGTGAAGGGAGTGGATAAGATATGACAAAATAATAATAATTTCTAAATTATCAAGGGTTCATGAGGGAGGGGGGAGTGGAGAGGCAGGGGGGGAAATGAGGAGCTGATACCAAGGGCTCAAGCAGAAAGAAAATGTTTTGAGAATGATGATGGCAACAAATGTACAAATGTGCTTGACACAATGGATGGATGGGAGGATGGATGGATGGATGGATGGATTGTGATAGAGTTATATGAGCCTCCATTAAAATTATTTTTCTTTAAAAAGCTACATACAAGGGAGTAGCCCCCCAATTTTTTCTTTCAAAGCTATATGTTTAATTTTATTTACAAAAGAACCCTATCACCTTTAAAGTACTCTCCGTGACACTTAATGCATTTTTCAAATCTGCAATTGCATTCTTGGAAACATTTTTCAAGCTCATCTGTTTGGGTGACTGACACCACCCCCCTCGTTTATTTTCTTCACCTCTCCTAGTTTGTCAAATCACTGTCATTTCATGTTCCTTCATTCGAGGAAACAAAAAGTAGTCGGTCGAGTGGAGGGAGGTCAGGTGAGTCAGGTGCATGGGGCAAACGGTGAGGCATGCTGTTTGTTGACCAAAACTGGCACACTGAGATGGCTGCATGAGCAGGTAAATGGTTGTGGTGGCAAAACCAGCCCCCCGTCTGCCACAACCAGGCCTTTTTAGTCACACACACACTGTTATGCAATCTTTTCAGAACCTCAAAATTAGAAAGCTTGATTAACAGTCTGATCTGGTGGAACAAACTCCAAACATTTTCGTCCATTTGGGAAGTGGATGGACGTCCAGAATGAGGTTTGTCATCAATCAACATTTCACCTTTTTTGAAACAAGAGAACCACGTGTACACTTGAGTTTTTCCTATAGCACTGTCCTTCTAAGCAGTTTTCAACATCACAGTGGTTTCCGCAGCTTTTTCCCCCAGCAGGAAGCAAACGTTCACAGCCACATGCTGTTTTCTAAAAGCAACCATCACCAAAAACGAGGTTTGAGCAAAACTGCTTTTGCGAAAGAATTCACTGTGACCAGAGAGAAACTTCCTAGGCGACCCCACTGAGTGCACTAACTCCGAGCTTGTTGCTCAATGCTCACCTAGCGGGGAAAATGCGTACTATGAAAGCTCTGATCTACCCAGCGCAATTCCTGTGTTGGGGGCGTACCTCCTCATATATTCCCAATCTCCCTCCCATACCTATTCATCCTGCATGTCTCCAAGAGTAATGTCATTGCAGGATTGTGTCTGTAACAGCATCTGCCTCGGTTGCCTTTAACTCTTATACTCCTCTTTCTGTCTTCCCCTGCCTCCATCATTTTTTGCAGATGCTCTTATTAAATACTGCCTTCCCCTTCACCCAAGTGAACAAATGTCTCCCTTTTAGCCAGTAATTTACCTTC